ATGAAATCCCATCCTCGTCGATTTTCTTTCGGTACAATCGAACGTTTCGGCTCCTACACTTGCAATACCTCATCCGATAGCCAACACACATGTTGATACATAAGCAGTATCTGAAAATAAACCTAGAACTACGCGTTCTGGAAGAAGAGTAGGATTCCCAGAACATTTAAACGACTATTGCACGTAAGATACTGGTTAACAATTTGCTTTATTTCGATTTTCCTTTGAACTATATATGATAAAAAAGTTTTTTATATGCTTATACTTATATATTTATTTTTAAAAAAATTTTTTTTAAATAGGCGTATATTAAATTTCTTTTTAAAAGAAAACAAAAAATATTTTTTAATCGCTTTTACACTTCCTCGGGTGTACTAGTTTATTCACCCTTTTGTCGCACACTTTTTGTCCTTACTCGCATACGAGTTTATTTCGACATGTACTTACACATTCTTTTTTTCTTTTCTAGGACGGCTGGAAAAGACGATAAAAAGAACGATGAAGTTAACGAGGAACCGAAATTTTGATTGCACTCTGTTTCTTTATTACTATGTTGTACACCATGGTCCCTTATTGTAAGGAAAGACGACCAGACACTGCTAAACATAGCAAGCTATCAGAAGAGTGTTAGTCAACGACAAACTTGTTGGGTTTAAACTTCTGACTGGCCACGTCATCACTACCCCACTAGTGTATGTGATAATGATGAGCAACCATCAAGCCTTCCTTTTAGTATCTTTTTAACTTTTTTAGGATCCCTCAATATTGCAGAAATGAAAATAATCATGTCTCACTTTTGTACTTCGTATGTGTCTCAATCAGAAACCTTGAAAATCCCTTGTTAAATAAATTTCATGTCTTAAACAACTGTTCGAAATGAATTGCTTCTAAGATTAAGAGCGACAAACAAGCACAAAGTATGTTGACTAGGGGTTAGTAACTGTGATGTTGATAATTAGAACTGATTTGAATGATAAATATCAGACCTGAGATTATTTTTCCGTTTATAAGTTAAGATATTTAAGTATGATGCTTTATGTGCACTTGGATGTGACAGTAATACGAATAGTCATTCCGAAAATACAAAGTCCCAAAACTACGAGATACGAGGAACAATGCCTTCAAAGTATTGGTATTACAGTAGGATGAAGAGTTTAAAAATTTGGCAAATTCGCCTGAAAACTCAAATGGCAATATTCTGAATGATGGTAACTTCTCCAAGAATTTTGATACAGATGATGAGTTTTGCTTCCCGGAAGACATTATTCTGACCTGATCTGCAAGCATTTAGAAAATTATCTTAAATGATGTTATAACTAGATAACCACAATCTAATAAGTCACATATCTTAGGAAAATATTGGTTAGACACCCTGGAAAAAGTAACCAGAGTCTTGAGAATTGTTCATCAATAAATTCATCAGCTTCAGTTAAGCTGATGATGGAGCAAATCACTTAAAAATATTGTATCCACAGGATTTATGGCGTGAACAGCTTAGGATTACATGATGTTTCCTAATAACTGGCTTGTATTTTGAAGCTTTACATGAATATTACTTCTTTTTCTTCAGAACTTATAGCCTACTTATTACACGATGTAGTTCAGTAACATTGTATTAATTTACTGAAATTATCACCATACAGTTTTAAACAACCTAGCATCACCAATTCTTAAGGGTTATAGGAGTTACCTGTTACCTTGTTGAATGACTTACCATATCCCCAGATAAGTCTATTTATCTAATTTCATAAGTTGATGTCAGTCCAACATTTTATTTTTAAATCGTAACTTTCAGTACATAGTCGTCACTGTTAAAATCATGATGATTATCCTGTTACCAAGAGAGCTATTACTGTGAACTATTTCAGACTTTTGTATCGAAGGTAGCAGGCCTACAGCTTGTGTCAGTCCCTTTCTAGTAAGCTTCTGAGAGTCTTTAGTCTTTACATGAATGAAGCAGTTGAAGGTGTGGACATCACTTTTTCGAGTAACAGGTTCCAACAGTTTATGAGTTATCAGAAGGGGTTTTGTGGACAATATGAGTTGATGTCAAAACCCGTATCCCACAAGTCTTTTACTAGTTTTCGGCTTTCTTACTAGCCCATTGTGTCCTATGAGTTGTTTTGATCTATCAGGAAGGAAGAAAGATGAAATATTAGGTACAAAATTCTTTCATAGTATTCTGTGCATAAAAATCAGATCATCTCTTAATCAGTGGCAGGATAGAGTAAAGTGTTCTAGCTTCTCAAGCCGCTCTGCTTAGGTAAACAGTGGAGTTCTGGGAATGCACAAGTAGCTTCCTTTGTACTTTCTCCAAGATGTCTCAGTCACCTTTTATATAGGTTTATGGCCTGAACATTGTTTTTAAGTTTGGATCCCACTAACGTTGCGTACACTGTAGTAAATATACTTATATCTTATTTAATAAATGTCCGTCATGAAGCCCATATAGCTCTGAACCCTTTAGCTGCCGTGTTCTTAGCTTCGTGGCTTACTATTTTTCTGTGATTATCGCGAGACCGGACTTCAGGCATTGGCTTTTCTCCCATGTTCTACCCATTCGCCTTTGCATCATCAATGTGCAAGTAGACACACCTGGCTGAGTTGATAAGCATCAGCTATGTCTTAGACCAACTAACCAGAACGTCAAATTCCCCCCGAAGTGCACATTAATCTCCAACTCCTGTTATCTCTAGCCAGGTTTTGACATCATCAGTATTAAACAGAGAAGAGGACTCAACGCGACTTGATAAAACTTTAAAACGTCATGTTTTTTTCTATTATTCCTATGTTTGATAGCTTAACATTCAACCACCGTCTTATTTACGTGTTATTATTCGTTGTTTCCCGATCAGTTTCTGCCGCCTCCTTGCCATTTGTCTTACAGCTCGGCAATACCCGGCGTATTCATATTAATCGTCTGTAAACCTCCAGCGCGCGACTACTCCCAACATGTTTGGTACCGATTCAAACGGCCGTTAAATCTGGTGGGGGAGTATTGTGGGGCCAGTGAAATGTCACTGAACCCTAGCCAAATCATTCGGCAGTTAAGTCACTAAATATCGAACAGATAATAGATCCCCGTTAAGGTCAAGGACAATCAACGCGCATCAGTAAATCATACGCCATGGACTGGCCCATGCGGCAGTGATTCTACTTTCGCTTGTATCTACTTTAACTGATATATTCCTGTAATAACGTCCTTTGTGTTATACAGTCTTCAGAGCATCCACGTAAGGTGCTGATCACGAGGTGTGACTTCGAAGGTAGCTTTTTCGTCACACCGTTCCCATTTAACTCAAGTAGGCCTCCAATCATTCGACATAGATCACCAACGTTGATGGTCTACAGCTAGAAAGAGGAAAACGAAAGAAAGGGTATGTAGTCAGCACACCTTTCTCACACAATGGACAATTTGTAATCAAAACTAAAAGTAGATAGTTCAACCTATGACATGTGGTGAAGACCAGTTGGAGCTCCCGATTTCAATTTCAAACACATATAATGCTCAAAGCTTAATAAAGGTATGGCATTTGTATGAACGAACGATTCCTTTGTAATTAATTACACGCTTATTAAGAACTCCAAATACGATACGTTCGTTTGTACTCACCTACATCTGTTTGGCTTAAATTAAACTGTTTCGGGAATTCCTAGTTAGTACAATAGCTGAAATACTACTAACGTTATAAGGGGATAATAATAATAATAATTCTCACTCAAAATAAAGAAGGGAACGAACAATTGGGCTACAATTACTTGACACTACTAAGATTTTTAGGGTGAACTCTTGACCACCCAACTAAAATTGTTACACACACCTGAGTTTTAAAAACATCTACATGAGCGAAAAGCGAGGCACATTATCGAATGTGTTATTAAATATACCCTGCACTTTTCTCACTGTGTTGATGTACATCTGATACCAAGATCGCTAAAATAGCACTGTCACCAGTTGATGAAAACCCCCATCCTCATATTTTCTGATAAGAAGGAACATGCTCTTATTAGCAGGAGATATGGTACATTGTTGCTGCTATTTGCCAGTTTGAATAACTTTTGCTTTCTGTTGATGCCTTAGTACCTGGAAACTTTGAGTTCGTGATCTTTCTTTTCATTTACAGTCGAAAAGATATCCGGGAAAGAATCTGTTTGCTTACATAATCTTCGGGTGACAAGTTGAACATGATGCAAATGACTCCACCATGAACGTTTTTATGTTTAGTAGGAATTCATGATAGTTTTTTAAGGCACTATCCCTTTCAATATAGTATCTTTGTTGTTTTATATGGGATTATTATGTTCTTCATGTCTCAAGTTACAGTCATCACTCATAGACTTTATTAATGCATCAGGTTCCTGAAAAGATATTTTGTTCTCTACACTCACTTGGACCAATATGCTTTTCTAGTTATTTTCAATATTTATCCATGCCTAATATGCCCTTAGTACGAGGTGCATACACTTGAATTCGGGATGACATTTGAACGAGTGTCCATTTGAAAAGTGACTAAGTTAATATTGTATAAATCCTATCAGGATCCATGGTATCAGTTTACAAAATGTACACTTTAACAGCGAATACAAAACAAACCTTATCAGACATCAAGTTGAACCCGTTAAAGCGAAATTTCTTTCAGATATATATACCCTGACAAAATGCACTTTTTGTACATTTACAGAATTGAAATTTGTAGACCTTATAGAACTAACCGAGGCACACTACATTAGATGCCATTTACACTGTGTGACGACAAGCTTAAAGTCACTGCAAAATCGTTTGACTGAAATCACCTATCGAGACCCTCTAATACAATACTAAAAAATGTTGCAGTTGCTGAGTTCCAAAAACGTGGGGAAAATGGTAATCTAATAGCAAAGGGAGAAGAGAACGCACACAAGAAATAGTAATCACGAGAGAAATGAGAGGGAAATCCTGAACTCCTACTAATTTTTACTACATTTAAAAAAACGTAAGTGGAAAAATTGGAACTTAACATGTTGAAAACACGGATACCGAAAAATTGCTCTGTGCTCAAATTATGATTTTTCAAAAGTGTGAAACTATTATCTTTGGTACGAGTGTAGTAATCGCCAGCGGAATTAGTCCATTATTAGGCGTCCAAATGTTTCAAAACTATCAATAATTTGATACGAGCCTCTCCATAGAGATATTGAAACTACTTTACCGGGCTATCTGCCTTCAAGGTCAGGAATGTGATTCGCATGCTTATAAAAGCATACTTCACGGACGAAACAGTGAAAATCACAAACACAAAACTTAAGTATCAGTAAAAGCTCCTTTGTATTCTGCTAGAAATCCATAAAAAATATCGTAACCTCGCTTTTTCTGACATGGATTAACGTTGATACTGTTAAGTTATCATATGTCTTATTTTGTCTCTTCAAATTGCATATATGTATCGCTGAATACCAATCCTAACTCCTCAATTTTAACGTAAACCTGAAGGCGATAGCATAATATATATATTACGATAGAACTAGTTAGACATTACATTTTTAATTAAAATTACTTCATTCATATAGCTACACAGCAATTTTGGATATTAATGGATGTCATTTCGTGTTAAAGCTCCGAACTTTATGGTAAATTTCTCAGCCGTAACTGGGATCAATATAGGGACTTAAGATTCCTTTGCGTCCTTACAAATTTTTAAAACGATGAGCAGGCGAGTTGATATATATTTTTCCTAGTTACGGGCTGAGTGACCTGTAAAAATTGTCAGTAGATTCGATATTTACAATAAACCGGTCCACGCTCCCATTACTATCGTTTTTGATAAACTACCCGTTAATAGACCTCCCTTATGATTGTCTAAAAACTACTTTTCACTTGCTCTAATCTTGTCCCAAAAGTGTGCCTTTTCCCCCATGTTTAGCTTATTACTTTTCCGTCGTTACTATAATATATTTGAATGTATATTTAAATAATCGAGCAGATATTAGCGAAATTATTAAAATGAACACAACGCAACTATTCAAATAAGTAGTGGCCTTGTAATATGTCATTGCATCTTTGCTGCTGATCTTGTCATGTACAAAACTGACACTCTTCACTGTGCTCTAGCTATTGACCACCCAATAGAGATATCAAAATACTACTCTGAGTTGGCTGAATAAATAGCACAGAAATATTGCTCATCTGATAGCCACTCAGATATACCAAATGGATAAGATATATTAGAAACTGTCTTTTTCAAAGGTACAAGGATGTCATACGTTATCACTCATAGCTCCACCACTAGAAAATCTATATATGACTTCCAACTGCTCTGGTATTCAAATAACTCATTAAAATCATACTTTTTAATAGGTCTGAAAATTCTCTGAGTATCTATTGGGTATTTAAATTATATATTCTGAGTAGAATTCGATACAGACCAAGTGTAACTCCAAAGTCATCGAAATCGCTTCTGGAGGCTATGTTTCAACCATATCACATAGAAATCTGAAGCAAAATCATTATTACAATCCATTACACTCTCTACTTCATAGCAAACCAAGGGCTTATGTCAGTTATCTAATCAGTGAATTAATGATGGCCCTAGTAGTTAATATGCATAGCTGAAGTTCTACTGAAATTCTTTTGGTCACGGCCAATTATCCAACTTAAATTAAATATCAGGTGTCTTCATAAATTAGGACGATCTCCAAATAAAAATACAGGTGATATAAGAATTTTGGCGATTCATTGACATGGAATAGAAAAGGGGTAATTATATAATTATATCTATAAAAAACGTATAACCCAGTATCTAATGAAGTCAGTTTATTTTAATACACCAATGTCTTTTGGTAATGTGACTAAAATATCAGTGCATTTTATTTATTATTTTTTTTATTTAAACACATAATATTGGTACAAGGAAGCACCAGATAAATATGCGCCTCACAAATCTCATTTGATTTGTGTGGGGGCTGTGATACTGCTCAGGTGCCCAGACTGAAGCAGGTGGTTTTCTTAGGAGGCCACACCCGAAGCCTTTGACCTGAAGGTCTAGTCCACAAGGCAGTGGAGCATCGTGAAGAGATGCAGTCCCATGGTAGCCGGTGATCAACGGTTGATTCGTACGCCATTCGTTCCTTCAGGATACTGTAGCCCATGTGCACCATTGGTTTAGAATCAGGGTTTTCCAACTCCTCTAGGTGGACACTCCACATCCACCAACCCGGTTAGAGCGCCGGACATTCGCTTTTCGTCCTCTCACTTTCGTGAACAACACCCCCGCCACTAGAAGGCAGTGAGTAGGACTTCCCTGGTAGATGCTATATATTCGCGTGGAGAGGGAAAGCGGACTCTTCCCACTCTCAGCTGTACCAGGGCATTTGGGGGCATCAGTGCATTAGGTCACTTATAAGAACAGTTCGTATATTAGCCGAATTAATTAATTATAACCAGCTAAGTAGTTTCGGAATATAAGATCTAAGGATTTAAATCCATAAGATATGAATATTTTACTTAAAAAACGACTACTTTTTATAACATACATCTTTAACATGAGTGTTTGTCAGACTTAACTGTTTGTCGAAGATAAAAAATTTGCCCAATTTTGTTAGTATAAACTCAGAGAATGTTTATCTATATAATATAGTAACACATCCCTAGAACCCAGTGCCGGGTTTGATTTTGTTCAGTGTTACTCTAGTGATTTGTTTTCTAGAACCAATTGACTACCCCTTCGATAGTTTCCTATTTATCATACGTGATTCATATTTGGAACCGTTCCTGTCATAATCGACTTCCTAAATGGATTACATATGCATATTCTTTGCGTTTCTCCAAGTATTATTCGTCTTTTTCAGTATCATTAACAGGACTTATTGCTTTTGCAGCGTTAACTGAAAATGATCTCGTCTGATGCCGAAAAATACGTGAATGATGTGAGTTTTGTTTTTTTCTTATCCAGTATTTTACATTCAATTGCACCAGATCTTCCTTTTTGACTCGAAATTGACTGTCTAACTTTCATTCGTTGACCAAAACTGTGTCTTGAGCAGGACTCCGTTACATTTGCTTTTGTCATGAACCCAACCAATTCTTTTTCTTCGTTTATATCGGTTATTTTTCGGACGTATTTTACGGAAAACTATTGGGAACAATACATTGTCTGTTAATCCTACCGTAGTTATCAACTTCACCTTTGTCCTTCCTGGGTTCGACACAAAAATATCAAAATAGCCAAACAATCCCCGTTTGATAACTCCGTCTTATACTGTTAAGTTGAAGGAATTCCATAAAACCTCGTTGTGTTCAACCTTTATAGCTAACATAAAACAGTCAGCCACAACGTAGAATCTGGTACATATCTACGTCAGTTCTAGTTACCATATCCCATTAGCACACATAGATAAAATTGTCAGGCCAGAATATTAGGGCTATTAACAGTATGAATGGTGATGAGAAAGATTAGGTATTGAAGATACTATTCGGGAAAACATAAATTCATGAAATAGGGGAATAGTTGTGGAGAATTTCGAATCTCAGAATCTGGGGGGGGAGATAAAGAACCTATTTACAATTGATTGACCGCTAGGTAGTGATCAATGTCATGTGTATCAGGTCTTTGTCAGTGGAGATCAGATTCTACCCACCAAGTTTCAATGTGGCCACTAGTCTAGGGGACTCGACATCGCGTGCAAGACAAAGAGAAGACGCACTTGCACCACTGCTAGCGATTTTGAGCCATATCATCCAAAGTCTCTAACCAACGGTTACGACAATCACGCGGACCCCAACCAAGTAGTCTACACCTCTTAAAATGGCTCAGTCCGGTTGTCGATGACTTCGTGGGCTGACTCCATGTTTTGGTTAGACCGTCCCTACCTTCCTCCTAGCCTACTTCTGCACCAAAAAACACCGACAGTAGAATTAGGCGGTGGTTGAACATATGTAACACATGTCCCAACTGTCTCAGTTGATAAATATTTACAACCTCATTAACCGATTCCCCATATTTACTTAGTATCCTGTACCAAATCCGGGCATTGCTTACCCCACGGTCACAAAATACACGAGCAATATTTCGTAGGCTTCTGTGATCGAATACCAGTAACCTGCAAATATCCTCTACCCTTAATGGACATGCTTCACATCCATAAAGTAGGATAGAGCGAACTGCTGCACAATAAACTCGTCTTTTGTTCGGTAGACGAATATATCACCTACACCACAAGTGTCGCTAGTCGGCAAAACTGAACGAGCCTTCTGAACCCAAGATGAGTGAAGTGGACGGTGTGTCCAACTACTTCACTCCCTGTCGTTAATTCGAGCGCTCACACAACCCGATTTCAAAGCTACATTTTACATTTGGAAGCGAGAAACCCCATCCCATACATGCATTGTTGCTTAAGGTAGTTGGAAGACTCTACATTTTGTCAACCGGTCAATCTCCTGGCTGAACATCAGTTCCTGAAAATTTGGACGATGAAAGCGTTATCTATAAAAGCATGTTAATGACAAGGTTAAATAAAAATGGGGAGAGGGGAAAGCTCTGACAAACACCACTTAAAGTGATCAATTTCGATGACAGTTCGCCATAAGCTCTGACTCGACTAATAGTGTTCGAGTAGAGAGCATGTACAAGGTTAATGTACTTCTTTGGTACGCCTTTCAATTACAAACACTTCCAGAGAACCTCATGATCGACGGATCTTTGAATAACTAACCGTATGAACGATTCTTAGAAGCCTTCTGTATTTGCAATCGACTTCAGTTTTCGGTTTGTTAAAAATTCATACTATTGTTTTAGTTTGTGAACAGGTAAAAAATCCACAAAACAAGTCAATTTATTATTATTCTGCTCCTATCCCTCTTCTTGTTTCATCGAAATTTATAACGAGAGACAGTTGTATCAAAAATTACCCGTGCGCAACAAATAATCCAAGAAAATAACTTTGAATGATAAAGTCTGTTATATACTCATTAACTTAATTCAGTAGTGTCACTCTGAACTGACCTTCAATCCATTTCCATATAGAATGGGTCACAAATTGAAACTTCTATCGTCCTATCCATTAAGTGTCATCGTTACTTTGACTAGAGATGTAACCCAGAACTTAGTATTCAAATATAAATCCAACTCCTTAGTTGCATCATTTTATTGTATAACTCACTGTTATTCTCTTGGTTGGCATTACCAAATATTTAAAATCACATATACTCTGAAAGTTAAAGGATAGAACTTTCGATGACAGACGATTCTCAGAAAAAGGAAGGGCAGCAGTCCTAGCACTATAAAGTCAAGCTGATTTTTAGTATTATCAACTGAGCTTATTCGTTCTCGATGAAAATGACAATTTTTAAAAAATAATCTATTAATTAAGAAACATAATCAGTATGGTTAGAGCCATGTTTTTAATAACTTTAGTGGCAAGCTTAATTTTGATTGAACATTAGCTACTACACTCACATGTTTATTAAATCCTACACTTTACAACAGTACCATTTTGTGAATAGTCCCATCAAACATAACTCTGATTGTCATTATCTAAATGCATAGTGAATAATTTATCAACTCAAAATATTTCAAACGTACTAACTTTATCCTTTAATTACTGAATGTGTTACTTCCGTATAATTTAGCCAAATATTGAGATACAATGGGCTGAACATTGTTTCCGTCATGCAGAAGCTTATTTCCGCTTACTCTGCTCAGTCTCTAACCCCTCAAAATTAAAACTGACTGCCCTAGATGATGTTATATTCGACAAATTTATGGGAGAGTTTAGTGATGTACAATTAGATGTTATTTCTGAAGATTCTTTGAAATCAGAGCAATCAAAAGCAGTAAGTCCCTTATCACTTTATATCAATTATCCACAAACGTGATCATTGTAAAAGGAATTCATAAGTTAACTATGTGTTGAATCCTTGGGGTTACTAATAACTCTAGAAACAAACAGATATACCAGTATAACTAGCTGTCAAATTGGTACATATATATACTTTGTGTGTAAATGCGGCGCCCTAGTCAAATTGAAGGATTAATGTCTTCTGGTTTATAACACATCTCATCTTTTTCTCTGTCGTATAGCATTAATGTCCCACCAAGCTGTATATTTTGTGAGCGAATTTTGTTTGGTATACTTCAGGTTTTCTGGATACTTGCCATATTTAGAAAACTAAGACATAAGCTGTTTATCAGCCTATGGATATATTTAGCTTTCGAGTTTCATAATCTAACTAAACATCTTAATTTCTAAAATGTATAGTGAAAAAATTAACTCTATGCCAGTAACATACTCCTATGGTAGATGTATAATTCTTAAAGACTACCATTGTTTTCGATTATTTTGTAACCTGAAAGGGTCATGAGTTTATTTTCTTATATATATATATATATATATATATATATATATATATATATATATATATATATATATATACTCTGACTTTCACGAAAAGCTCGACCTTATTTCCCGTTTGATTTGCTCTAACACATATGTACTGTTAATTTTGTTGGTTTACGTATTCCAAACGCTTTGTCGAGTAGCAGACACACTGAACTTTGTTACTACAACGACTGCAAAAGTCTTAGGAACTATGTTTTTATCTTTGTTTCCCCTACAATCATGTGATGGAGTTATTCTTGATCTTTTAGAAATGGCGAACATTTTGCAATGCATTTGAAGGGAAAGTTGAAGATTTCAACTTTGGTACTTTATTAAGACTTGATGCCTCAAAAGGATACTGCCCAGAAAACACTTGCATCGGTATGATATCTTTATATTTAAACATTTTTTGTAAAGTTCCTAGAATACAGTTCCTTGCATTAGAAATCGCACGTAACCGTCTTGGGATCAATAACCCTGAGAAGCTTAAACAAATAGAGGGATAAATCTGTACATATCTTGTATATTTTTCTTTAAAACTTTGTGGTTGAACTTGTTTAAAGATTTTGTTGGGACTCTAAAGATGACGGATTGATAATTTTGGACTAATAGTATTCTGCTCGCTGTGATGTCAAGGGTCACATCTCGCATGAACTCTTGGATGCATATCTCTAACTTATGCTGAACGGGCACGATAAAGCTACCTAGTGTTTTATAATATCCCAGGAGATACTAGTCGCCTATGTAAATCATCTTTAAAATCCCAGAAGACAACTCACTAGGTTGTACTTCTTTTCACGGTTTCCTACATATTGTCGCAGATTATTTGATTATGTCATACCATCGTTGATGAAATATAAGTTGGTATGTCTTGAAGACGACTTGTTTAAAGTAATTAAATCTGGATAGTTTCCTTAACATTAACCAGTGACTATAGAGAAATTCTATATAACTAGTAATTAGGAAGTTTTAAAGTGCCTGGTATTTTCCTCATACTACCTATTTGTAATCTATTAAAAACCAAGTGAAAATGCGAGCGCTACTCCTATCCAAGACAAATGGTCATAATTAAAACCATCTCACGGACTACCAACAGCTCACACTAAAAGCAAATAGCTTGATTCACTAATGACTGCTCCTGGCTTTTTCTAACCTTATTCCTATCCTAACAATTTATGGTCATACAAAGCACATATCCCTGTTCCTGTAGTCGATGATAAGTTATGGAATATTAGATATTGTGGTAATTAGAAGTATTTGAATTATTATATAAACTAATAATCCAAGAAATGACGCAATTTAGACCAAGAAAAAATAAATGACCACTAATGGACGTATTGCATTTGGAATTCGAAATTAGGCAGTCACCAAATACAAAGGAATCATTAGTTCATCCAAAAACCACATCTGCCACAGCTTAAATTGGAGTCAAAGTTCCTGTAATTGATTGCATGTCTTCTTAAGTTCATGTCTGTCCCACAGTATATATAGACTTCTTATCATCTAGAATGTACTCATTAATATTAGAATTAACAACTGGAATTGGAACGGACTCACCTGGGTCCTGGAATTGTATATAGTCACCATGTCGGTTGTGTACTGAAACCACTGATATCTAGAATTTGAACCGTAGGTTTTCCAACACTGTCCTCCCACACGAAGTTATGTTGGATCTTCATATCCCCAAGTTAAGAGTAGTGTAGTTTCCTGTAAAACGTATTTCTCATTTTGATTAGTAGATTCATTAGAAGTGACTTCAGTATAAGTATAAACATTTGATATGAAATCACACGAATTGTAATCAAAATGGAGCTCATTTAGGATTGAACAACTTTCCCACAAGGAACAAATGCATTATGAGAACAGATATTTAATATGACATTGAAATTTGATCCTTCTGAAATATTTTCCTCAAATTTATTAAGAATATCACTGCAGATTAATGGATCATTAGAAAAACCAGCAATTATCGAAACTGCACCGGGTTTTCGATCATGATTTCATTCATTCAACATATTCCTAGGATTTGTAAGAAATTTCATCAGAAATATGTGAATCATCAGGACAAACCATATCTGGTGCAATAACATCCGAGATCTTATCAGGATTTGTTGCACTTGACATTTTCCTCCACATATTTACAAACATGAGTCATGAAAACAACACATATCTGGTAAAATAATATCGTGAATCTGATCAAAGTGTCATTCATCTGAAACTTTCAACTTAATAAGATCGGAATTGCTAAGCTTAGGATTAGTTACAGCGAAATAAACAGTAGTATTACAAACTGACTGAATGTGTTCAATCTTACTACTTACAGCTGCGAAATGCACATGAATTAAATGAGTGAAACTTGCCACAGAACAAGCATTTACTAAACTTGTGCTCATCTTCGTGATCTGCTTCGCAACTTAATGAATTATTTGAATAACCTTGATTACGCATTGGACTGGGACAACGTGGTGAAGTAGTGGAATTCCTGATGTCCTGACGAATCATTTTATGAAATTTTCCTCTTTTACAGCATTCGAGATTTATATACTTTAAATTGTCTAGCAGTAGTTCCATGAGAATTACATAAGGAAGCGATATGGGCTTTCACGGAAATGCCAGAGATTTCAACAAGTTGTATGCTTCTTTTCCGATAAATGTAAAGAAATGAGCCACGATACTAATGTCCTCAACATCTTCCTTTGTCATAGTCCACATTTCGAACCTTTCCATGTAATCCTCAAAGGCATCAGAATTTGAATGCATGTCCAATTGTTCCATCACAGGAACATCAGCATTCCTAAAATTGCACTCCGTAGTACATTTAAGTAAAATTTGCTAACACTGTCGACCTGTGTTGTCTAACAGTTAAAGACCCTAAATTAATGCCCTACGAACGTTAATCAACACAGGACTTCGAACAGATCTACATTGGCCTATGTTCTTAAACTAAGTTAATACGATCAGATGGAAATAACAAAAAAACCTACATGTATTAACATTTGTAGAGACAAGTGCTTTACATCTACAATAAAGTTCGGAAAGACGGAGTGAAAAGGTTTGTGTAGAAAAATACGAACACTAATGATCGAGAGATCTGCACCATCCTAAATGGTTCTGTGCTATATCGACAAGAGCCTCCAACCGTAGGTTGCAGTGATCACTTAGACCCTTACCAGGCAGACTACATCGACTAAATTGGTCCACATTAACAGTAAGTGACTTTAAGGGCTGATGTCACGCCTCGATTTGACACTCCAAGCCCTCTTCAACCTACTTTGGCATCGCTCGTCGTAGTAGACGATGGTTAAACACAAGTAACTCGCGTCTAACTTCAACGATCCTCAACCGATTGTCCCATGAAAAGCGAGCAATACTTGGAAAGCACCTGTGGCCAGGAGCCTTTAGTTTACCGACGTCTTTTACTTCCGTCAACCATGACCTCTAGACAAGCATTATCGAGGTTCTTAGTCTGCGTCATATTTCGCAAACCGAGTCCTTTGTGGCTGTTACAAGATTCTTGTCTTATCGAATATTTGAAGATCATCTGAACCGTCTGCCCTACACACTTTGACTCCATTACCTAAACACTATGTAGCTGACATTTCTTCATCTCGACCTCGCCATCCAACATAGGTAACTCCCACATATTTATTGATAAGTCAGAGGTTTAGTAGATTACAATGGACGCTAGCAACCAATTTATCTTTTTGAGTAATGTTGAAGAAATTAATACTAAATTAAGCCTTTTAGAATTGGTTACATCCATATCCCATTCGCATACAGACAAATAAATAATGCTAAGCATCATACCGTACTAATAATAATTTTGGGATGAATTTTACGTTTATGTATCGTAGTGTGTTACAACAACTACGCGTATGGTACAAATGAGAATGCTCAGTTTTTACGTAAAGAAGGTCATTTATCTATTTTATTGAAAAATCCACCATAAAAACAAAGTAAGACGGAATAATACACACACAGGGAAACGAATTCATAAGAGCGAAGAAAAATGCCCTGATAAATCTAGCGGATTAAAACATAATTAAATGCTGTTCAGAACAAGATTGTACATTAAAGGCAAAGATTTTGAAGTTAGTTTTCTTAAAAGTCTTGATTGCGATCCAATTCAAACGATCGTGAGCGACAAATCAGCGCATACGATAGTTAAACGTTGTGTCGATCGACGAAAGTTCTCCCTCGAATTCTACTTTGATGTTGATATCAAGATCACGCTAAAATAAGGAATAAACAAGCAAAAACAATTTCCAATTGACGAGTAGCATTTTTGAGCTTACCACTAGCAAAAGTATTGGACAATAATTGTGATAAGTATAAAAGCAAACAAGTGAACAGGGAATCGACTAACTGTAGCAGTGTGAATGGTTTGTTTCATTTATTTGCTTGTACATCTTACTTGTCAGATAAGCACTGCTGTTCGGTTTTGAACTGCCGAGACATGCAGTAAAGTATTTCAGTATAACATGTTGAAAAGTAACTTCAGTACATTATTGCTTCAAACCCTTCCTTGTCGGCAGTAAATCAGACTTCATAAGCACACTAAATTAGAGCTTAAAACTTAATTAGTAAGAAAATCCAGAAACTTACTCTGAGTAAGGAACCATCAGAAATTATACTATGATCGATAATGCTGAGTAAATCTGTTCACTATTTCCTAATGGTGTTGAAAATATGCAAGTTTGATGTAAGTACAATATTACGGGATTCAGCAGAATGGCTTTAACAATTAGAAGCTAAAATTAAATCAACTCACGTTATTTCGTTCATTCGGCTTAATAGACATCACACCATTAATTTGTTCTCCTTTCTTGACAGTTAGACAGTCGTCATCACCATTATCAAGATAAAAAACTGTTTGTTTCCAATGTGTGTAGCGGCGCTCATCAGGACCTTGTGATAACAAATATATATCTATGTTATTAACGGTCTTAAATCAATTAAGAAATGAAGTATTGAAAAAGGGAAGTAATATTGGGATAGAATAGAAAAACCTTGTCCAGATATACTCTTTTATTTTCACATCTAGGAATGTCTGCAGGCTTGTTGATAAAACGGATTAGGTATCAAACTGAAGTAATTGAGATTCGGAGATGTTTTACACACTAAGGGTCAACAATGCAATCACTCACTATTGGTTTAAGCCAAGTTATTCGATGTAAACTACCTGAGTGATCGCCGCGACCAACGGTCGAAGAATCCAGGTGATATATAACATAGATTCATTCACGATGGTGTGACCCCTTCATTCATCTTCCTCTTCATCAAACCCTTTTACTCTGTCTTTCCGAACCTTATTGTCGATGTAGGACGTTATATCAACTTCATCATTTTTATCCCATGTTATTCGGGTTTGAGGATATATGCCAACGTGCATCTATCCGAATTTGTATTGTTTGGAGTAAAAATTCAATACTTTGACTAAACAGGGCCATTTCAGTCGTTATAATATAGAACCCAACGCATTTTGTGCGTCGGCTTAGATTGTCACACATTTGTGCAGAGGGTACCTTCGATATGAAGAATGCCAGTCTAAGAGCTAAGCAGTGAGGTATGGTCTAGTTTTTAATAGTAACTTATGTTTTCTTCTTTAGGATCAATGCATATCTTTAATTGGTCTAGCCTGGACATCTGTAAATACGTGTGAGTTGAAAGTTTTATCGTTGTCTTCGAAAAAGCATCCTCCAACTTTACAGTTACTTTGACTGAGGGTGCGTAGTAGATCAAAAAGCCAACGCGAGAAGCTTTATGAAGATCAATTATCTATGATACCATGACTAACTGGTACGTGTACGAATATTGTCGGTGGAGTGTTCGAGAACATAAGATAGCTTGTTGCTGCACCGTACAGTATTGAAACAAGAAATGTTTGTTAGTTCTAGTATATAACAGCTGGAGATCAGCTTTTCAGCATAACTATCTTGATTATCTTGTTTAGTTTGCTGTACTGTTAATTTTAAACTAAAGAAAATTTTAACGTTGATACTCTAACGCCACGGACTATGGATTTATTTATTTAAACACAAAAACATTCGTACAAGGAGGCACCAAATACATATGAGTCACACAAGTCAATCTGTGGGGGAGCTGGAATACTGTCCGGGTACCTAAACCGAAGAAGCGGATAGTTCTCTCAGGCTACACCCCGAACCTTGGGTTTCAAGGTAGAATCAACAAGGCAGTGAAGCAACTTAAGGAGATGCAGTCTTATGGTAGCCGGTGTTCAATAATTGGTTTATAAGCCACTTGTTCTTTCAGGATACTGAAGCCTATGTTGCCTTTGGTTTACAATCAGGGTTTTCCGACTCCCCTAGGTAGGTCCTATATATCCACCAACCCAGTTAAAGCATCGGACATTCGCTTTTCGTCTTCTCAATTTCGTAAACAACACCCCCCCCCCTAAGGCAGTGAGTAGGACTTTCCTGGGATTGGCTTCATGCACATGGCCATTCGAGAGGGAGAGTTGAATCTTCCTACCCTGGACCGTACCAGGGCACTTGGGAGCTAATGTTGATAACGGTACTTTCTTTATACGTCATACACATGTCTCAGAAACAAATGACCTAATAATGGGTGTTAAGATTCGGAAGCAAGTATAGACAGACAAAGCGGGATCTAACACGTAATCCTTTACATTATAAAACTGAGAAAATAATGTCACAGCTAAGACAAGATGGTCTAGGAACGAAATGTTAGGGTGAGTATATCGAAGTCGACATCCTTTTAGCATCACCGTAGTATATGTTTTCATGTCTCTCATCCTTACTCAACTATTTAGGCCAGATAGCTTAGTAAACCATTTGATTATTTGGAGGTAACGATTTAGATATATCTTAACAAAATAAATTGATTGCACATCTACTTATGTTTAGAAATAAAAAACATAACAAACCAACGTTTTATAAAAAAAGGTGTGAACTAACCTGTTGAAAATCCTGTAGGTTTATGGCAAGAAGTGAAGTCTATATTGAAAAACGTAACCAAGGCTTGAATATAATCATTTCTTTTGCAGGTAAGTGTAAATGGTGCACTGAACGTTAACTCGGGGACTGTGATAGTGTACATGTCCACTTCCTTGACTAAACAGCAATTAGTCACAACCTGGTTAGGATCAACAACATCAACCAAAGGTTCTGTAAGTGCAACTTTCCTTATACAACTCATGTCGAAACCGTACACACTGTCCCACCCTACAAAAAGGAAGAAAAATTTGATCACATTTAATAACCCACATTGGTACTTTTCAAAATTAGTGAAATCCTTACCTGTGACGCAGTAATTACTGCTTATTTCTGTCTCAACATGATTCCTAACACTAGATATAATCACCAACCAACTAGCTGCGAAACTAATATTGATTATTTAACAATGAAGTTAATGGATACATAAGATTGAGACTGAGAGTTTATGGACTACATATAATGAATTTCATTGATTTTTTCTGGTTAGCGTTTTTTAGCGAGGAAGAAATCAGGAGGCGCTGGAAGTGGATTAGGCACACCTTGAGGAAATCACCTAATTGCGTCACAAGACAAACCCTCACATAGAATCCTGAAGGTCAGAGAAAGAGGAAGACCAAAGAACACATTACGCCGAGAAATAGAGACAGACATGAGAAGAATGAACAAGAACTGGATAGAACTAGAAAAGAAGGCCCAGGACAGAGTGGGTTAGAGAAAGCTGGTCGGCGGCCTATGCTCCATTGGGAGTAACAGGCGTAAATAAGTAAAGTAATAATGAATTTCATTGGACGAAATCATTGGAGACAGACATGTTCAATTAAAGATAAAAGAGATGAAGTTTTGTTTGAAAACGAGCTGAACTTACAATTAATTTTTTCATCTTTGTACTGTCTATCTTCGATAGCACACACATACAGAGTTGCACGATCAGGCATAATTATCCCACCAGGTGCCTGTGGAAAATGCAAAAACGATTTTTGAGCGTCAGTAAGCATTATAATAGGACTTTTAAATAAGCGACTAGGAGAAGTGGGAATTGGCAACCAAATATTTTTGCACGTGATTAGCATTTAACTAGACGACAATGTGTAGAGCATGAAAACTTGACGGTTTAATAACTGTCGAAAAATGTGAAGTACGGAGCAGACAACACTCAAGCTGCCGTTTTTGAGTTAGCAGGATAACTCTGTAAGAATACTGAGTTAATAGTTTGGCAAATCAATAAATTGGTTTCCTTGAATGCAGACGGTCCTAACTCACAACCCACATTTGTGACTTATATAAATCATTACTGAACGTGACGTAGCGAAATCAGCTGATATGCAACATAGCGAAATGAATGTTACCACTAACGATCAACTAAAAGGAGTGAAAAACCGGTAGATAAAAAGACGTAGTTTAGTACATGAACTTACAAGGGATAGGTTCAGAGTTCGGTCAATTCAGGAAACTGAAATAATGTGAATCTTTTTATATTAGTTGGAAGACTCAGGTTGTTGTTGGAATTCACGGAATTTTATTTACTGGTTGAGTAGTTGCTGAATGATGAAAATTGGTGGACACTATCAACATAGTGCTGCAAGACACATCCTACCTTAACCCCTCATCGACAAATGTTATATGAACTTGTTGCTTGACAGATATATCAATGTATTCATTGGATTAATCTAAAGTAACATCCATGCAAAAAAACACTATACGCAACTATTTCGAGAACAGAACTTCATTGACTGACTTGAACTAACGTCACAACAGTACTTGGAGATGTGAATTTTTCTAATCCTTGTAGTATAGCAAATAGCTAATTAGATTAATGGATATCAAAAGTTTCTACGCAGTTAAGCAGTTTAGATTTAGAACGACAAGAACTTCATATACTGGTTAGGCAGTACTTGATAACAAATGATAGTGACTCAAACTTAATGGTTTGATTTCAACCAAGAAAAAGAAATGGACAAATTGCTTACCAACCATTTGTCTCTAGCATAAATAACAGTATTCAACATTGACTCGTAAAAAAGACAGTAACCCATCCATTCACTTATGACTATGTCGACTTTAGGGTATTCTGGAGGTAGTTCCACTTCTTCTACTTTTCCTTTGATCAGAGTGATACCTGTAAAGATGATAAACACGGAAAGTTAGATACCTCAAGGGGCGGTTATGCATATTCCTAAACTACAAGTTGACTTACGGTCCGCCATATTGTTAGCTCGGACGACTTCCATTGCCCGGTCGATAATGTTAGAACAGTCAATCTAAAACTAAAATGGACCAGAAACACAATTACTCCAATAGCATGCTTGGCTCCGGCTTTAATTGCAAACAAACAGAGGATGGCGGTTCCACAACCTACATCAAGCACTACCTTATCTCTTACAAGGTGTTTGTTGTGAATTAAAGCACTGCGATAGGTGAGTGTTCTAATTTCGTCTTTCAGCATTTCCTAAAACATAATACTCTATATCTTATTGACGTACCTCATGAATTCCGAAATGCGCGTATGAGTCAAAATAGTAATCCTTTGAGGTCATATCTGACGATTCAGTGGTAGACTCACATGATGTACTAGGAGAACACTGATTTTTATCACCTGCCCCATTTTTCCCGTTCATAGTGAGACGAAACGACCGACAAAGGACTAACAAGACAACCACGCGCGACGACCTACTATTGGTTACGCGCCGTTATCAGTAGTCAGAAACAAATCTAAGTTTCAAACCTCAAACTTAGCAAGACAGGAAAAGAGAATGATTTATCTTTCAATATGTGTAATGGTAATATAAAATAGGTCCTGACTACAGACATGTATGAGTTTGCTGTTTTTCTTCTGAGTCTGAAGCGAAATTATGAAATGAGTGGTTTTGGGGCAAGACATGTTGTAAACTCCGTCAGTACCTGTCAAATTAAAGTAAATATCAAATTTATTTTATGAAAGATTCAGCACAAGGTAAGATACTCAGTATTATAAATGACGGTCATATTCATCTGACCCTTCTGTACCACAGGAGTTGGAAATTCGATGTCACTAGGCGATCTCAGCAAGGCTTATGCTTTAGTACAAATAACTTTACTTACTTACTTACTTACTTACTTACGCCTGTTACTCCCAATGGAGCATAGGCCGAGTACAAATAACTGGGATGGTATAAAAGCTAAACTACGGGCTCCTGCTCACATATTATGTGCAATCAGGTACTTATGATGTCGTTATTTATCAGTTACTAACAGCATTTTTGCCGTTACACGTCTGTCAGTCAGTCAGCTACAACGTAGGACCAGGCACACATATGCATCAGTCCACATTGTCATACCTCGTTAGCACAACAAGATGAACACCGAATTCATAGAAGTAGTTAATTTAGTGGTGGTAATATATAAAAGAAAGTTTGTATATAAGGATATAGTACAGAAAGAAAGACAAATATGAAGCAGTTTTAATCTCAAGATTTAAGGGAAGATAAAGAGTGTACACTTTGCACCATTGTGATCGATTCTGAACCATGTCACCTAGAGTCTCTAACCATTGGTTACGATAGTCACACGGACTCCAACCAAGTAGTATGCATCTACCAACATGGCTCAGACTAGAAGTTAGTGACTTCAAGCACTGATGCCACGTTTTGGTTTGTCCGCCCCTTACTCCTTTCCAACCATTCCCTACACTAATCAGTATAGCGCGTCGTGGTAATCGGTGTTCAGGCATACGTAACACGTGGCCCAACCATCTCATTCGATGAAGATTCATGACCTCATCAACTGATTTACCATCATTCCCTAATGCCCTGCGTCGAACCTCACTATTACTTACCCGGTTATCCCAGCAGATGCGGGCAATATTTCTAAGGCATCTGTGGTCAAATACTAGTAACCTACGAGTATCTTCTACTCTTAATGGCCACGTTTCACAGCCGTAAAGCAGAACAGAGCGAACTGCTGCGCAGTATACTCGTCCCTTAATTGATAGACGGATATCTCGTCTTCGCCATAGGTGACGTAAGTTGGCAAAAGCCAAACGAGCTTTTTGAATCCGTGCTGATATTTCGTCAGAAACCAACCCATTAGGGCTGATCAGACTTCCAAGATAAGTGAAGTTGTTGAAGCGTTAGACTACTTCACTCGCTATCCTTAGTTCAGGTGTTTATGCAGGCCAGTCCTGGAGTAACAATTTACATTTAGATGGGGAGAAACGCATCCCAAATATCCTGGCATTATTACTCAGTTCTAACAGAATATTCGGCATTTTGCCAGCGTCTTCATCAAACAGGAATATGTCATCTGCGTATTCTAAGTCGCTTAGTGGAGCCTCTGGTAGGAGATCAATTCCTGAGAATTCAGTCGACGAGAGTGTCATTTCCAGCAATAGGTCTATAATGAAGTCAAACAAAAATGGGAATAATGGACAGCCTTGTCGGACACCACTTGAGGTTGTAAAACCAGATGACAGTTCGCCATAAGCTCTCACTCGACTGGTAGTGTTCGATTAAAGAGCCTTCACAAAGTTTATTTACTTCTGAGGTACACCTTTCATTGACAGACACTGCCACAGAACCTCTCGATCGACAGAGTCAAATGCTGCAAGTCCACGAGAACTAGCCATAGGGTCGCAAGATACACGGAGAATGTATTTCGTTGGCTCTCCATTTTGGCAAGGTGGGGTCAAGTGAATGACAACACTGAGATCCTGTATGCGTGTTTCGGAGACAGAATACATCGATGGTATGAGATTCTAGGGTCTTATCCAAGGAGGCTTGTTGACCGATTTGACTTAGGGTACGTACGTTGAAGGCTTCAATGTGTAATTCGGAGCGAGGTTTTAGTAGACCTCAGACAGTGTTTCGCTCACCAGAATCGTTGGCCATGGTGACACTTGCGGAGGAAACCGAAAGACGAAGTTTAGTATTGAAAGTTGAGGTAGAAGGAATAGTAGGAAGTGAAGAAGGAGATTGATTGTGAATACAGTGGTCTTGAGTGCTGTTAGAGGTATGAGGGCAGTTATCACTTCCCGGTTACCCACACCGTGGAAGGGTTCTTCTAGAGGTACCTGAAAAGGAAATTGGGTTAGAAGTGGTCTTAATGACCTGAGAGCGTGACCGCAGTGCTCAAGGGACAACTGCTTGAGGTCGGTCACACACGACCTTTTTGTGGGTGGTTTTTGTGTTAGCTCCGTTCCCTAAAGGACCTTACCGCCGGAGACGGAAATCCGTGGGATAAGGTGAGGTGTGCATTTTTAGGGTCGACCTTTTCTAACCCCACCCCTCCTTGTGGGAAGGCAGCATCGCTGTCATGCTGGTTGTCTGAAAGAAACACCTTACTGCTGTCACACCTCTGTACAGTCAGCAGTACGACTTCGCCTTCAAACCTTGGGTTTGCTGCCTTTAGTCTTAAAGCTCTTCAACCGACCTGTCTGGCATGGTAAAACCTTGAGCAACGATTGTTCCAGCCAGTATATCTCGATTGGTTCATCACGATAGGCAAGCCCGACCACCACGTCAAGGTAGCAGCAACGTCTGTAGCAGTAAATAAATCTCCAAAATCAGTAGCTCCGTAAGTCTTCGATATTTTATGTTGAACTTATTGGTTTTACTGGACTCACCTAACTGAAGACGCTCGGTCACGCATCCGTATCAGATCAAGAGTGAGTATGCCGTGCTACGCATCTTCTACAGCCACTAGCCAGCTTGGATTAATCACTTCCCGATGATATCAATAGCCTAACAAATATATCTTCGAGACTCTTCGCTTCTTACTTCTGATTCCACTGAGTTGGCATGATTCGAGCGTAAAAGGTGTTGATACTTGAGGTGTTGCCCAACGTCTAATATTTGTGGCATCTTTACGTCAATTTTCTCAGTGTTTGTGCTTGTTACATAGTTTTATCCTAGTCAATTAGTAGTTTGAATTTGGAAGGTGCCACAGGTATTTGAAGTTTGATAACGCTTTAACCGGTAACAACTAATATGGATCGTACCCACCTAGGGAAATCAAAAGTCATAAGCTAAGAAGTTCGAAGATATATTTGATAGGTTATCAATATATCGAGGGTCGACTGATCAGGACTGGCTAGCAGTTGAAGAGGATGTTGAGCACAGAGTTCCCACTCGTGATCTGGTACGGACGCATGACCGAACGCCTTCAGTTAGGCGAGTCCATTGAAATTAATGTGGTCAGCATTCGATGTGGAAGACTTACAAAGCTATGTGGCTATTTGCAACAACTTAAACTCAATCAAGTGACATCCACTATTTTTCAAGTCAGCGATAAACTACAGTTAGATTTTTTAAGCAAAAACGAGTACTGAATACCTTTGATTTAACACCCTAAAAATGTTCATGAACATAGATGTCTGGTAGTTGTTTGGTAAATGTAAGCTGATGCAATTCTGCATTAAACTATTTTTGAACACTATATAGGTTGAGAGTATATAAGTAGTTCGGATCATTATAAGTATCATTATTTTTAACAAAACTGACATATTGATGTGTAGCTTATCTGAAAAACAAAAATCATATAAGTAATAGATGACACAGGTGTCCTTTTCTGCCAGCTTTCTAACCATATACAGGAAATGTATATAACATCACTGTCACATTAATTAGTGATACATCCTTCATAAGTAAACCGATGCATGTTTGTTTCGAACATGGCAACTGAACTATGTTGTTATTGACCACTAATTTATGATGTGTCTGTTATTCAGTTAACGGATGAACTTCTGGAAACCGAGTCTGCAAACAGAGACCTATAAGATCTCATATGGAAGTTACATCACTGTCCACACTGACTTGTCCTATCGTGAAATCAGACGTCTAGCACTCCCAAAGGACACAACTCCTTGTGTTAGCACCGGATAAACATCTTTTATTTTGAAATAAGGAGAGGTGCCGAGTAGACAGCCCCAAACTCGAACGTATCGCTAAAAGATGGAAACAGACGAAGCCATTGCCAGAGGTGTCCTGGGAAGAGTAGCTGGAGGAGCATTTAGCCAACTTTCAAGTATAAAACATATAGAGCGATCTTCAAAGAAGCGATGCAATAATACATTTCTAACAGTCCAAACGTCGTAATTACAAACACAATATATATTGTATCACACCTAGATAAATTGAATTTTCAGACCCCTTTTATCTTCATCAAGTATGTATGACCCGTACAAATTGATATATGACGATTACTCATCGTAATTAAATGATAGTTTCATCACATCATTTTAAACCATTACTGAATTGACTCTTATTCTACCATTAAGTCTTACCACATTGGTGATTTGTTTTTTACTTCGTTTTGTCATGCATACGTTACCGTTTATTCTTATTCTGTTTTATATGCATAATTATTAAGTTATTTGCTTATTTCACTTTCCCCTCCCTTCTTCTCCTAAGTCAACTCAATATTTTTCTAAATATTACGAAACCTATTTAAATATATCGAATTTCGTCTGGATATGACTGAAACTCGCGTATGACTGAATTTCTAGAGAAACCTGAAGTGATTTCCTAACAATACTTCTGTACCAATAAGCTGTTTTTGATTAGAATAATAATACTAGTCGCCAACCTGTTCATCTATAATAACTGACCAATTAGCACAACGCTAATGTTCACATTAGCTTAGG